CGCGCGCAAATCAGAAACTCTGATTCTCTCTAACTCAGCAAGTAGAACTTCGCGGTTAAATACCGCTCTTCCTCATTATGTATTCAGTGATTTTAAAACTACGTTCTGGCCGGAAGTAGTAAGTTGAAGTTTAAGAATTTGACAGGAAAGGAACTTTAACTCAAAATTTAACTGTTAATAAAATTAACATAATTCGTACAGATACTGGTTCTCGTCCGATCACCGAAGACCTATGAGATCTATATGGCTATGTACAAATCTTGCAAAAGGCAAGAAAAATGTACCCAAAAGTGAATTTTAATGTCTGTGAATTTTAGAGAGTTGGGCATTGTAAGCAAAACTCGGTCGTTTAAAAATTTTTTCGCCTTAAGCCAAAAGTATTGCTTAGAGATTAGTTTTGTTGATGCTGAAATGCCGGCATGAGAAAGACAGTGAACCTGCTCAAAAAATTTTAGGACGAAAAGATTTACGAATGAATAGATAAGGTGTACTTATGTCCTTATTGCAGGAAAATCTTCTAAAGGAAAATAATGTTTTTCATTTTTAAAAATTGGTAAAGATTGAGAAAGAGAATTTTGAATTTCGTAGGCCCGAAGCTGTGCTTCAGGTAATTTTATATGATCAATATTGTTGTGTGCATAGGGGTTACTAATAGACTGAATACACACAGAAGCGATGATAGCTCATGTAAACTTTATTTTACCAAAAGGAACACTTTATAGTACTGGAACTTTCCACCAAAATACGAGAGTATGTTTTGAGAATCTTCAAATCTTTCGATTCTAGACTAGATAACCAACGTACTACAAATAGCTCCTGGATATTTCTAAGAGCTTATCAACGTACCGATTACCTGAGTGAAAGACATTTTCAAATGCATCGCCGATGTTCGGATGCATTGTAGTATTTTAAGTTACGCAAGAATTATTTGCACCTTTTTTTTCCCCTTGCATCCCTTCATCATTGACAAATGTTAACTAAAATGGTGAAACAATCAAAAGACCTGCAATGAAAAGCTGAAAAGTGTGAAGATAATTTAATGGTATAACAAATATCCGATATAAGATGGTCGACAAAGAAAGGATGCCATACTGGCATTAAAACTTGCTTACAACCATATAAAAAGAAGCCTTATCTGACATCTGTAGTTAAACTTTGAAATACAGTTTTACAGAGAATGAAAGATTTGTTGATAGCATTATGTCAACTCACTGCATTCTATTTACGAGATTTGATTTATTAAAATCTTCGAAAAATTTTTATTGCAAGATTCCGTCATAAAACTGTTTAACATAGAAAAAGAAGCAATTGATATGAAATCTTTGACATCTGCAGAACAGAGTTAGAAGCCACAAAAAAGGAATTTTTTTTTTAAATTCTTTTTTGTGGTCTGTGATTAACATAGAAAAAGAAGCAATCGATATGAAATTTTTAACATCGGAAGGACACAAATAAATAATCACAGCCACAAATAAATAAGGACTTTTTTTAAAGATGAAAGTAATGAAGTATCTAAATTGCTTTCAAAGGTGAATATTATTTTCAATTCTTTTAATAAAATAGCAGGACGTCTTCGTAGAAATGAAGTGCATAAAAGCAATACAGAAAATTAAAAAATATTCTTTAGTTTAAATTTTTGGAATTTAAAAAGAAAAGTCTGTGTAGAAAGGTTGAAAGAGATTTATAAAAATTATATATTAGATATTATGCATTTTGATGATAAAATGGAACCGTGTTTCTTACTTTTAATAGAAGATGAAGGCAAATTTATTTCTGTCACACAAATATATCATGCCGCAAGAGAAATGGAAATTATTTAATTTTTTTCTTTTTTTTGACTATTCCAATTTCTAATGCAACCGGAGAACATGGTGTGTTCTACAATAACTACAGACCCCAAAGACGCCTAAAAAGCGTCCTCTAAAGCCCTCCATCATTGTCCTGCTTATGTGTCGATCAACTATTAGCTTAGAAGACGTCGTATCCACATTGCCTTGCTATAAACGAAACCAGGAACTCTTCTTCCATAGTCTAATCACAGTATTTATGGGTCTTTGGAATCATAAACAGAGATGATGCTGTATTAATCTAAATAAATCAGTATGATATATCACACTTATTACAAGTTTTGCATTTCAAGCAAAAAATGAAATACTCAGCAACATACTTTTCCCATTCAAAACTATAATTAACATCATATTTAATCCCACTTAAGAGAGAAAACGCGATTAAACCAAGCCTTGCTTGTTTTGAAACAAATGTCCTCAAAACCTGTGAGGTAAATCTAATAATTCTTATTAATTTATTTAAAGGAAATTATCCAGGCTGTTTCAATAAAATTCAGACTGGAAAAAATATTTTCCCTCACTCAGTGGGCGTATTTAATGCTTTTCAATCATATCCTGCGGAATCCTGATTGATCGTTACGCAATACCAAGATTCCGCGGATTAAAATATAGCTGAACTTGGGTCTATCGTTCCCACAACGTTGCTTTTCAATACTGTATCTTTCGCCATTTTTACAAATGATATGATTATTCGTTTTAAATCAACATTTCGGCGCAATGTTTTCCGCATGGAACGTTTTGAAGCAAAGTATGTTCCATTACCTTCTCTTTGCACTCTAAATTTGGTAGCACATATTTCCGTTAATCTTCATCAGGTTATTCTTCTTTTTTTTCATGGATTTCAGAGTTAGTTTCCATTCTTCGCCTAAAAGGACTCTGGAAGAAGGAGATAGACGGCACGAGATGTTGTGAAACTTCAAGCCGTAATTTTCAATTGAGGCAAAATTCAGTTAAGAAGTGAAAGATAATGCTTTTTTTTTTTTTTTTTTTTAAATCAAAAGTAGAGGTATTTACTTCTTCAGGTTGTTTAAGTTGTCAACTTTGGAGATTGAGCGCAGTGGCCGCTTTAATACGGAGGTACTACAGTAGGTTTTTAATAGTAGGTACATTCATGCTAAGAATAATATATGCTGTTTATTTTCAGTATGTTACTTATGAACAATATGCAACAGTTTCTTGATTTATGAACAATATGTCATAGTTTCCCTATGTGTTATGACTTATTGACTCATGAGCAGTATGTAATATTCATTGTATTTTCCTCTTTAGTCATCTTTAAAAACAATAAATGGAAGTTTTACTGAATTGATCTTACTCGAAGCATTGAAATAACTAGAACTCTGTGATCTTTAATCATGTTCTTCTAAAAGTCCGGGCTCCGAGATTAAATCCTCTTACGAATGGAACCAATCGCACTGCGATGTTAGACGTTATAATTTATTTTTAAGAGAAAAGTTTTACTAATTTGAAATAAGTTTTTCAGTTTAAAATAATTAGCCCTGTCAATATGAAACGAATACCTGAAGATGAAATAAAACTGAATATAAAAATTTGCATGAATTTTGCTTTATTTTTTACACTAAAAAACATTGTACATGATAAAAACGTTTTCCCCATTTCTTATTTACTCTGCAAACAACAAACAAAATTACAAATAATTTCCCCTTTCTCTAAAGTATTTAGAATATCCTTATTCTAAGTTTTAATTTTTGCCAAAATGTTTTAAATCAAAGCAATTAATGCAAATGATAACAATAATTATGATTCAGGAGGCTGTTGTGCAACATGACCTTTGCTGCATTAGTAAGTTTAGGTATGCAATGTGGCAGCAGAAGATAGAGAAAGAAGTGAAAGGAAGTGAGTAGATGTTTCCCCTACAAATCGATATTTTAAAAGCTCCTGAAAACGAAAGTACAAGTTTGAGACTCGACTTTTCTTTATGTTTAAATAAATAACTATAAAACAAATTTAAATGTTCTATTATTGATTAGAATTGAATTCAGAACCACACATTCATGCCACGTCAGGGGTATTGCTATAGCTCCTATGACAAATATAAAAATTTCCTAACTTATAATTTAAGCACTTCATCTTTGTTCATATGTACAGGTTTATGTATATTTATATTCAGTTATACTTTTTTCTCTTCCATAAATAATATATATCTGTCATTTATTACACATGCGGTCTGTATCTTTTGAGGAGTGAAAAATTATTGGACTGACTTTTAAAAACAAAAATATAAAAAAGCAGTTTCTTAATTAAAAAAATATTTGTGAGGAAAATCAAGAGATGATCATGTAAGATGAAACTATCAACTTCATAATTTTTCTATCAAACTTTAACCAGAATATTGCCTGAGAAATAGGATGGTAACATATTAATGTTATAAAATATATCTGAGGGGTTAAAAATGGATAAAAGCTTAAACATCACATGATAAATGTCTCTTCAGTAAATAATTGCTTTGAAGGTTAATCGAAAATATATGATAAATTCATAACAAATGCAAAATAGAATGAATTTAATTCTTTACATCATTTTACATACATAATATATACAACATTTTATACTTTTTACAGCAATACTTATCATAGATATACATATTTCTTTGTTCTAAAATTTTCATCGATAATTCAATATCTACAAGAAACGTTATGAAAGCATTCGGTATATAAAAACAATATGAAATAAGCACATAACGTAATGATAACATTTAACATTTATTAAATATTATAAGTCAATTGTCTTTTGTTAAACTTTATGAAATAATTGATCCTTAAATTTAGAAGGAAGTCCTTTGCCTTTCATAACAGTATAACTGTCCTGACTCAAAATCAGTTGTTTGGAATTTTCTAGCTATATAATATGATACAAGAATTAGATATCTTGTGAATAGGATCTTTCCAAAAAAAAAAAAAAAAAAAAAGGTACATACTGTAATCTTAAAGTTACTTAGTGACAATTCCACATTGAAACACCCAGTTCTTTTCTTAATGATATATTTTAAATCATATAGTTTTAGTCATTGTATTGTCAGTTTATACGTATCAATCTACAGCCACGAATAATAACTTTTTGATTTGTGTTTCTTTTCACAAGGAGAGGCACACGGAAAATATGACGTGGCTATCACAGATTTCAGGCGACAGATGGCAGCACTAGGAAGTTGTGCGTCGAATAAATGCAATCTATAAGGTAAAAAAGATCATAAATAATTTGATTCTACTCAACACAAAGCCAGTTTTATTACTCTTTTTTTATATTTATATTTTAAATAGAGTAACTTAATTTAAAGTACACATATATGCTGAAAAGTTCTTTACATTTTTTTATTAAATGTGTAATAATTTATAGATAAGTGCAGGGATTCTCAACCAGTAGGAGAATTCCCGTTGAGAGGGAATGTAGTAGTTTCAGGATGAATGCAGCCAGAATTTTCTTTGACTGTTAAGTATTTAGTTTTAATTTATGCTTATGAAAAATACTGTTATTCAAGTTTTGGTATTTATCAACATTTTCTATACTTTTGTTTAATTTATAGAACACGCTAGAAAATAATCTAAATCTGAATAAATTATAAGTATTTTTTGAATTTTGGAAAGGAAGTGGGGTCTCTAGTAATCTTCTAGCAATATTGAAAGAGATACATGGTGCAAGACAGGTTGAGAACCGCTGCATTAGCACCATAAAAAGGCTTTTAATATATTAAGGCTGTGCCTATATTATTTTGACTATATCACTTTTACATTTTTTTTTTTTTTTACACAACTTTGAAATAATTATCATCCACATTTTTAGACACTATTTCAGTCAAATTTCCTTTAGTTCCATCGTAAAGAATAAACTTCTTGATAATTAATTGGTAATTAAACAATTATTTCTCAAGAATTAAATAGCAGTGAAATCAGATAAGTATAAAACTAAATTTTAAGTATAAAACTAAATTAATTTAAATTTAAATCAAAAGTCTTACAGACAAACAATGAAGACTGAGTCTAATAGAACCTCTGGTTGAGGAAACAAACTTTTAATTCATTAAGTTCCAATCAATTTAAATAATGTAACTAAAATGCATTGATTGAATTGGAAGAATAAAAATTATATTTTGTATTTACAGGATCGACCTTTGTTATAATGTTATTTCCGGTTACCTGTAAATATTGTTGCGTGCGTACGGGTTCGTAATAGATTGAATGCACAAGTCTTATGAAAAGTTAACAAAATTTATTCTTATCAAAAGAAATAAAACAAAGTGCTGAAACTTTTCCTCGCCGATATTCGTACAATATCACATAGTAGGTATATTTTAAATTACTAAAACGTTAAATAAAACACAATTCAAAGCGCAAGAGAAAGCTAATCCGATCTCGCAGCGAATTTGCTGTAATCAACAACAAAACTTAGTAAACAACTGAACTGAGATGTTTTGCTCCAGCTTTTATAAGCTTTTTAATCATGCACAAGAACATTCTGGTATTTTCTCGAAGTTTCTGGAAAACAAAGCAGTTCAATTAGGAGATATCTATTTAATAAATGTTAAATGCGCGTGCTCCTGTATTTTTACTTTTTCGGCGTAGCTTTCTCTTAAAACTCGTCATGCGCTGCATTGCACGGGGAAATAAAACAATTTTAGCTAAATAGTTAACTAAATACAAAATCCGTAACAATATGTATAAAAGGCCAAGTTGTAACTTTCGCGTTTAGTATTAACAGTCGTAACATCTAAAAATTTTATACAGTTTTGAGTAATAAAAAGTTTTCTCACCTGATGTAAGTAAATATTATAACATCACAGCTTCTTGAGTGGCAACAGCTTCATACAAGTACCGATGATCCGTCTGCGAAGAGAAATAGTACTATTTCAACCAATGAAGAGATATCAAACTTCAGTGCAATCAAATAAAACAGCAACATTGAGTAAAAATATATTCTGCTGTACAGAAATATTTAAGTACTGAAGTTCACTTAAAACGTCACTATAGGCATTTACATTTTTTTTCGCATTTTACACTCCCATATACTTTTTTTTTTAACTTAACAATTTAATTAAATAGTAAATAACCTTACTTTGATTGGGTCAAAAGATTTAACTAAAAGTTGTGTTATTAAAATAGTATAGTATCTGAAATGGATATATCGAATATCGAACAATGTAATAATAAGGAATAATTAATTAAATAAGGAGTAATGAATTAAAATTTAATAATAATGATGATTAATTTAATAATAATGATGATGATTTCGATTATAATATTGTAAAATCTAACCTAAATTATTAGCTTTTTTTTAAAGATAATTTCTGATTTGTCTTTCGAACGTTCATTTTGTTTCATACAGAAAGCTAATAATAATAAATAATTAATTATATTTTAATGAAGGGAATTATTAATAGTTTCATTTTTAACATTGTAAAGCCATATTAAGATAATAACGTTTTAAAGCTAACTTCTGACCTATCCCGTCTGACTTCGTATGCACAACTGCTCATTTTACTACAGTATGAGAAATAACAAAAAGAGTTTGGTAGACAAATATGACGACAAGTTAATTGTAACGGAGTTTGATTTGAAAGTTCTGATTACCATAATTTCTAACTGATGGACTGGCAGTTATATAGAATACAAATACATAATTCTTAAGGCTAATTATAATTGTTATATTAAGGGAATTATAACTGTTATACGCAAGTGAATAAGTCCTTTTTTTTCCTCCGTAACTATAAATAGCTCATAACTTAAAGCAGATTTTTTATTATTTTTTATTTCAGCACTTTCCTTTAAGCAGCATGAAGTCTTTCTAGAATGAGTGGAAAATTTTTCTATGCATCAGATCCCAAAAGAGAGGGCTCAAGAGAAAGAAGCATACAAAATCTGAAAAAGAATATAAAGCAGGTGCTGCGAAGTAGAGTGACCTCGCTCTATTCAACGGAACATCTCCCTCCCTCCTGCTGAAAGTGGGTCCCATAAGAGGTACCACCAAAACATTCTGTCACGTGACTATTTTTCTACAATATGAAAAAGAAACTTTTCCCACTTGTGTTTGGTTCCTTCTGCATTTGATGTTGTTGCTATGGCCAAAAGCTATTTATGTAAAAAAATCTCTTAATTTTGTTACAATACATGCTTGTATTTCTTCAGAGATTTATCAGTTAAAGTAAAAATATATTTTGTATTTTTCTTTGTTAAATTTTTAGCCAATGCATCATTTTCTTCTGATTTTGCCCTTTTCCTCTTTTTAAATTATAAGATTGCTATTGTTTTGCTAACGGTTTCAGCTTTGTCTATTTCTCCCATCTATTTTTCCTTTCATTTCATTGATTCGCTCAGGAATTATGCAAATAAGGTGTTATATATAACAGAAGCTAAAGAAAGGCGAGATTATGTTGATTGACTGGTAGTTTATGTAGTTGTATGATCCACACTGAATTGTAGCTGTTGTTGAGTCAGCTAGAAATTATTCTACTGTTTCGTAACAGATTAAGAATAAAGAATTAATTTAATTCAGTTAAAATATACTGGTACTCATAAAATAGGAGATCCACCATTTATTATTCAATTATATTACACATAATTAAGGCCAGATTTACTTTTCTACAAGGAGGAACTGTGAGTTTGCAATATTTTCGTTGGTTGTTTTTGCAAAGCGCAAGTTGTGAATTTTCATTATAAGTGTTAATTTAGAAGCGTTGGTGTGCGTTTTAAGTTAATCTGAACTAACTTTTGGTGGAAATGGTTTATCAAGCGACACTGAAGCTGCATACTAGTTAAACTAGAATTTTAAACCGGATATTACGAAATTTTGAATAATGAGTTCGCTTATTACAGAGATGTATTTAATGCAGAAAATTTAAAATTAAATAAAATATTATGAAAGCTGCAAAAACACATATGATAAAATTGAATTTAAAATCTTCAGTGCGCGTCGTTTTTCAAATAATGTATGAAAATTCTTTATTATATATGGAGCAGAATTTCCTCCATATTTCATGCAAGCTTATTTGTAATTAAACTGTAGGCATATAAGAAAGGGCAGAAGTTATTCAATTTATGTGGAAAAGAATTTAAAAAATAATATAATTCAAAGGAGATAAAATACAAGAAAAAACTATCCATTAATTCATATGGCTGACTTACTTCACACAAAACAAAATTTTTAACCCAAAGATCCTTTAAACATAAGTTTCGAACCCATTCTGATATGTAATGAAGTTTCTGAATGAAATTTTTGCTTCTTTTGCTAGATATTCATTTAAAGAAGTTGCTGTTTCGCAATATCTCTGCTTTGGATTATCTGTTTCCGTAGTGATAGATTAAAACTGTAATGGATCTAACTCTTATCTGTTCGAAGAATTTTTGCGTCTATGAATCTTAGCTTTTCTTCATTTAATGGGGCCGCATAGAATTAAAAAATTTCAGAGGTATCATGAAAGAGCTGATGATAACATACTTACGATATTCTGTTTTGTGATTTTTGAAACAGGTGATAACGCAAAAGCCTAACTTATTCAACAGAAATAGTACTTTGAATTTCGAAGTTTGGCAGTTTTTAAAGTAAAGAATGTAGCACTATATATGGTATATACAAGGTGTAGCACGGAGAGGCCGATGCAAGGAAATTCTGTTTGTTACAGAGAACTACCCAGTTGTCGCTTTTGTGTACAAATAACGCAGCAACGGCGGACGCGCTCTGGCGGGAAAAAAGAAAAGAACTCAGTTGAACGAGTGATGCGTCTAATATTTGCCGAAAACGATAGACCGTTCTCGTACTTATCTGAAACGCAATACTTCTATGACTATTTTGTAAATATTAATTGTGTGTATATATTTTATATGTTAGTAACAAAATTCTAAAAAAATACATTAGAGTTCGGCAAGATGATAAAATTTAAAACACCAGTAAAGAAGCAAACTTTGAAATCAACTTGGTTACCATGAAAAACACTTTTCCAACAAGTCATCAACAAGACTCGATACCCGAATGCTTTTTACTAGCAGATTCAAGCCTCATATATATATATATTTAAACAAAAAAAAAAAAAAAAAAAAAAAAAAAAAAAAAAAACCTGATAATCTTGTTTACCGTGATATTACTTAAATCTAGCATTTAAATTTTCAATGTGTTAAGCATTCTTTGGATATAGCTTGTAGAGACATTAGGTTATTTTGAAAGCAAGAGATGTGAAAAATGAGCAATGCCCTCGCTGGAAATCGAACCGCGGACCTCTCGAATACGCGCCGAGCGTGCAGACCACTACACCACGAAGGCACGCTAAGGAGGCGGGAGAAATACCTTATAAGCTTACTTTTCTTCATGCATTTTCAATATGATGCATTGTGCACGATAAACAATGTCTCATGTTAGTTATGTTAAAAAGGAATCCTACCAAGATCTAAACTTCTGCTGGAATTTAATGCTGAACTTCTGCTCTTAATGCCGTTTACAGTAGTTACCTATAACTAAAGCAACACCATTTTCATCGAAATTCTGCCGGTGCAATATAGTTTCATAAGCTGTTCTTGTTGATATTTAATGCCATTTCAGTGAATTATTAGCAAAACGTTATTCTACCAGTTACATGAGAAATGTCATTAAGGAGAAAGAATCTTGTTTACCCTTCGGGTACTGCACTGCCTGCTCGTATTTTGCAAGAGAGAAAATACATCCTTGCAAGCCACAAAATGCGATAAATGGTATCTGTATCTTATCTTCATTACTTGACCTCTGCTCTACGAGATCTGTTTACCCGTCCGTCCACGAACTATTGCTTGACAAGAAAAACCTTTCGGAAATAAATAAACAAATACACACGATGATGCGAGAGAAGTAGAGACACACGAACCAGTTTCGGGTGGGTGTTTCAGGCGAGTCCGTCCGATTATACGACCGATGTTATAATATACGTCAAAAAGAGAAATAAAATATAAAGAAAAAAGTAGGTGGAAAAGAAGGGGGATAAAAGATCAGCGACCGCTTTTACTTCAAGAAGTTGCGGAAGATTCCATCTGTTACTAGGCGACACTGAGGCGGCCTCATGAGGCAGGTGTCTCTTTTTCCACCCGCCTCTTTTAAAGCCTTCGAGATGAATTTAAGCTTGTTCTTAGTGTATTTAGAATATCAAAATGATTATTTGCTTAATTTTGCTGAATAAAAGCAATAATAAAGTTGATATTTAGTTTAAAGACCTGCGAAAAAAATTAGTTACATTGGTTCGTTTAAAATAAAGATGAATTGTGTGTTTAGGTAAATAAAAAATAAGTTTATTTCTTAATCGAAAAAAAAAAAAAAAAAAAATGTGTGAACTCATATCTTGTTTATGAAGATAAAAGTATTTTGCTTCGTTCTCAGCCTAATATTTATTGAATTTAACTACGATAAACAAAACTAAACAAATTAAGAAAAAAATAATAAAGATAGAAGTAAGCAAACAAATCAAATATCTTCAACCTGCACTGCAGCATATACATATTTATTCTACAGAAACGATACCATCTAACTATCCTTTTTTTTCCGAGTATCCGGATGGTTTGCTGCACTAGTCACTCTGGATAGTTGGAACTTAATCGGGTGAGATTATCATTATTATAACTTTTTAATCAGAAACTGCTGGAAAATTCCGTAAAATAATATATCAAAACTTTAATGTTCTTTTGAGGAGATTTGTTTCATATGCAGTATTTACCATTGAACGATTTTAACTAAGTGTCAAGATCCTAAAGCAAAATCTCAGCATATTTTCTAGTTACTATGCATATCGAAAGTCGAATTACCATTTACATCGATGATTATGTACTGAATTTAATTAGGAGATGATATAATAATGATGAATAGATATGAGTCCACAGTATTGCCTTTTGATAACAATTAACCTGGCCTCATTATTCAAAGTAATAAAATAAAAAGTGGCATCTAGAACAATCTGAAACTCTTCAGTTACGGTCACAGGGTTTTCATTTTGATATAGAGAACGGATGAGTTTCCAAATAAAAACTTCCACCTGTGCTTCCCGTGCTCTTCGAATAGCATTTATTTCCGCCATTACGTCACTTACCTCCAAAGCACCTGTTAACTTCCGGCGGAAGTATTTGAACAAACATGGAAGTTCTGTTCATCCTGAGTGAAAGTGAGGAAACTAATTGTCCGAAGTTGTTCATTGTGGCGAGGATGTACGGCTTGGCCTTTGCTCATCATCTAAAACATTTTTTCAGAGTCGTGTATTGTATCGCTATTTGTACTGGACTATTGTACTATGAATGGGTGGAGATTCTTTCCGGAATTTTATGGACAGGTTTAGCTTTCCTTTTGTGGCTTAGTGCGAGAGGCAATATAGAATTGCTGAAGTTATATAGCAGAAAATACAAAGCTGTGATTAAAAAACAAAAGGAAGTAATTTGAATCTAACCAATGTAAATTAGTTAACTAAAGATGAGTTTTAACATGCAAAGCATTCAAAATGCTTGATTCCTGTCGATCTGTTTGCTTTGGAATGATGCATAAGTTCGTAGCATTTTGTTATGTGGGTGGGCAACATAGCCAAGAACTTGCTATCCACTATTCCATTGTTTTTGCTTAAGTTTATAGTTTGTTTTCCTGGAAACACGGCGTATTGTAATTCTGAGCATAATTTGTCAGTTTTGTAGATTGTATTAGATGGAATATGCAGTAAACAAAATTGAACATTTCCGGTATATTGTGCTCTCCGAGTTTAACCGAGGATCAAGCGCAGCACGGGAGGCGAAAACAATTTATGCTGTATACGAGCAGGGTCGGGGCCTAGCATAAATAAGGGGTGACAATTTTTTTAGTTTTTGGAGAAGAAACGAGCAGCAAAATTTATGAAGGACAAAATTTTTAGAATTTAGTGGACACAATGAACAGTAGAATTTAGGAGTGGCAAAATTTGTGGTGTTTAGGGAGGTGCTGGACAACAGAATTTAGGACTCACAGACATTGCATCAAGGGGGTAAAATGTCTAGGGCCGGCCCTGTGTAAGGGACTAATGCCATTGTTGAAAATACGGCAAAGAAATAATACTGTTAGTAGATGATCCACTTTCGGGAAGATCGTTAGAATTTGATAAAGATTGCTTAAAAGTCAGTATCTTCACAAGAATTCCCTTCAAAAACTTGGGAATTGTCACACCTTACGGTATGCAATCACTCAATCATTGCGTGTCATTTGCATTTGATGGGAAAGGTGTAACCCATAACAAACCGCTACTAACTTATGTACTGCCCAATATAATGATTTAAACTCGAGTTCAATAGAAGGAGGTACGAATTGTAAGAGGTAATTTGATACTATATTTCCAGTTTTTATGATTATTATTTTTTAATATCTAACCAAATGGATTTTTAGCAAGTGTCGTTTTCATTCAAGAAAAGTGCTTTCGGATTTATAAGGTTAAACTCCATTGCGCATGATCCAGTATCAGTATATCATGTTGCGATGACAAGGGTTTCAAGTAAGTTCTCTTCCTTATAAGAACGACTGCCACTCACTCTAACCAGTTGGAATATATTTCGCGAATACTGAATTAATTAATTGATTAGAAGATATTTCACAGCACATACTGAGATTTTATAGGTTCGGGGAATTACAATACCGAAGTAAGGATTCTTGATGCTTGATATCATCATTTATGTTTATTGCCACAGACATTCAATCGGAAGTCAAGCGTTGTTGCTAAACAAGATATTTGTTTAATTAATATAAATATTGCCTATTAGTTCGACCATTAAATTTTCAAAATTTATAACCTTCTAATGTCGCTGTTCTTGATAGGCTGACAAATGTTATAGGAAAGTTAACTGAATATGGCAAAGCAAACGGGGACCATCCGACCAAAGGAAAGAATGGGTACGTGAAGTACTTTTTAAGAAAACCTGGCTTGTATTCACGTTGCACATAGGAAAAAGCACTATGCAGCCAGACCGTTCGTCTGAATCAAAAGCGGGACAAACTCCCGGTATCCAGAGGTCTTAACCACTCAGGGATAAATAGAAGTCTTCTAAGTCCTGTTAACCACTTGGCATATGAAAAGTGTCCTATAGTTTTTATTCGTCTTTGCTTTGACTATTTATGTCCTTAATTATGATGAAGTCTTTGGTATAGAAATAGATGACAAACAAATAAAATATGTCCAAGAAATAATATGACATTTTCTTCTATCATACATTTCTTTTCCCAGGTCTAAGGTTTTATACACGATAGCGAATTTTATACGGTTATGAAATATGATGCACTAAAATTTATACTTATACTTACCCTTTTGCAGTAGCGGCGTTTGTGCACCACGAAACAGGTAGCTATTAGAATGACAGCCAATGATCCGATTATTACTCCGGAAGCAATGACAACTGATGATGAGATGCTTTGTGGAATATCCACGGCAATGACAGACTGACTCTCTAAAAATAATAAGAAACAAGCAAATAAATAAATTAAGCTAATACCAAGCATCGCAGCTCTTAAGCGTTTTTGCATTAGTACTTCGCATATTTTGGAAAAACGCTATAAATAAATGTTAAGTAATTTTTAATAAATTTGTAAAAAGGAGTGAAAGTAGAGGGAAAAAATCAAATCAGTAATTTTATTCCTTTAAAAGAAATTGCCCTCTTCAAATCTCGTACTCGATTTTGTAGATATATAGAAAACATATAACATCTTTAGGTCTAAATTAATGTTTTAGAAGTAAATAAATTTGGAATTTCTGTGCGTTTTAAATTCAAATTTAACTTACATTTTAGTGGTGCTATTTTATTTAGAAGCAGATAATTTTGTACTTTAATACGTGTATTAAATTACATATTTTGGTTAATTATGCTTATGTTTCGCAGAGAAACAATATAGAAGTACTATAACAAATTTTGTCAATGAAAAGAAACTTATTTTCACTTTTTTTTTTTTTTCGTTTATGAGACTTCAATGAACACGATTTTGTCTATTTTAATAATAATCAAAGTGGAAATGCTGAACAGTACTAACTTCTTTCTTCACTTTTATTTTCTGAAATTATTTATTATTAATAAGTTAAAATTTTTTAGTAGTCTCCTGCTTCAAATTGTTTATTATTACTAATGTTTTGTTTAGTAACACAATATAAACCAAGTAAAATGACACAAAATTTTGCATCCTTATCCCAATGTAACTACTAATCATCTTTTTTCCTTCATAATTAAAGGAGCTTTTTTTAATATAAAGAAGTTATAATTAAAATAAATGAGTAAAACCAAATTGAAATTTATCTGATTTTAATTGATTGGAAAATTCGCCAGAAGTTGGCTTCTCAGTAAATGATATCCGACTTTTGAAACAATATGAAGGCAGAAAATAAGTGCAAAATCCAAATATTATATATGTAAAATTATAAATTGAATTGCAATTTAAAAACTGAAACAAAGAAAAGTGTTAAATAGCTGATATCTTTACAGCAGCATTATTTCTTTCGTTATGCGAAAAATACTTAAACTGTTCTTTAAAACCAAACTTTTCATAAATGTATTTACCAAAAGCAGTAACACACAAGGCACAATCAGTCCAGCATTCTGCAAACCTTACGACACATTTGAGCGCATAAAGCTATGAAATAACTGTAGTGACAGCTAAATCAGAGTTATTCCCATTATTCATGTATCTCAGTCTGAGATGCGGTGTAGCTTAAATACTTCGTTACATATTTAAAGAACCTTCAGAGTGTATTGCATTGAATTTTACTTGCAGTCTTGTATTCATTTGCATTTCTGTTGAATCACCCAACAACTGTTCTGTCACTCAGCTGTCAACGATTTCCCCGTCTTTGGTTTTTACCAGCAGTAAATATTCAACAAGGTAACGGATGATATCTTGCATCATGGATAAGAACCTGGCTTGCATTTTAGAGTAATACATGGTGTAATGACCCCAAGACAGAAGCTCAATAACCGTGGAAGACAAGTCCGGCGCGTGCAGACAGAATTGAAGACAGGCCAGTTGAGTTAGTGTTTATATCTTTTATCGCCGGAAGCATATATTTTCAAAAAGAAACCAATAGACATGCCAAGTGAATTCCACTGTCTTAGTCCTCATGCCACTAACCTGGAAAATGTATCCCTAATTGTTTAGAATAATTATTCCTTTTAAGTAAACAAATAAGCTTATTAGACATTTATTAAGTTATATGAAGAAGAAAACTTATCCTTTTATGATTAATTGATATCTTTTCGTTTTTCTATTCTGTATAGTGATTTCAAAGCTTAAAGTTCTTTTTAATAATTTTTGCACAAAATTGTTTTTAAATTAATAGGATATTCATCTTCTTTCACTTTGATTATTTGTTACAGCACTAAGAGTGCATTGTAAAAGATTTCGTAATATTCAAAGCATTTTTCAGCATAGCATTCAAGTTTCTACCAAGACATTCATTGATTATAAACTGTCTAGGATACTCAACATGTCCATCCAGATATAGCTTGTAACTCAAATTGCGTCTATGAATGCTATTGAAGGATCTGTCTGGAACTGGCTACACCGAAGTAAGCTGTATGAATCGTTAACTGCTGGAAAAATGATTATAAACTGTCTAGGATACTCAACATGTCCATCCAGATATAGCTTGTAACTCAAATTGCGTCTATGAACGCTATTGAAGGATCTGTTTGGAACTGGCTACACCGAAGTAAGCTGTATGAATCGTTAACTGCTGGAAAAATGATTATAAACTGTCTAGGATACTCAACATGTCCATCCAGATATAGCTTGTAACTCAAATTGCGTCTATGAACGCTATTGAAGAATCTGTCTGGAACTGGCTACACCGAAGTAAGCTGTATGAATCGTTAACTGCTGGATAAATATGGTGGGAATTCAGTATTTGATAGTGGACTTTTACTTTAAAGTAGAAGTACAAATGGCAGTCGGTTTACGTGAAGCAGTGTGACCGTCAGATTTTGTGCAGGAGTACATCCGAACTCACAACATGACATTTTGTCAAACCCTGAGTTTCACAGAAATACTTCATAGTAAATGATAGGTATTCCTGGATCAGAGATGAGACACACAGAAGAAAGACTGGCGCATGAATGCGTTTTTAAGTAACTAAACGGATTGTACTTTTCCTTAGTTTGTCTCGGAAAACACCAGAAAAACTCTTTGCGCTTTAAGTTCTAACAGAATTTAATTGGTTAAAACATCCTTTATTACTAAAAAAGTTTTCAGTTTGAAAATTCGTTAAATATTCTATCCGTGATAATTAGTGATAAGTCACATTGTTGAATATAGTAATGCGTGACTGTTTAAAAAACAGCATGTCCGAAGCTTTTTATATTTTTACTTAAAAACTGCTAAATTCTTCAACAGATATAGTCAAATTACTGTTAATCAAAATTAAAAATGTATATATCCAAATAGAAAAAGCGCTTTTTTTTTCCTCCAGAGACTGAAAACATAATTTTAGAGATAATTTATGCAATTTTTGGAGTTTTGAACATTTTATGACTAGTAACAAAGAATTCTTGTGTGGAATAAGAGTGGAAATTGTTATCATATACGGCTTGAAGGCAAAACAGTGTCATTTTGATTCGAAAATTCACAACGGAAATAAGATAAAATCAGCCGCATACATGTATGCATACGTATGAATATTTCTTCAATCATATTAAATTGAAAAAAATATTGGTAAAAATTGGCGTATAAACAATTTTCATATTTAACTAGTTTTCTCAACCCTTACAAACTGAGATAGATAACTTAATATAATTGTCAACTTTCATAATACTTTTTCATAACCACTTCTTTTATTTTTTATAATTTTTAATACCTTTACGGTAAATTTAACAGTTTTCTGTTAAAAAGTCCAAATAAAAATAGGATTTTATTTTATAGCTAGGCTCGGTATTATTAACTTGGTATAAAGAAGATTTATATTTTGTTCTTTCATAGTTTAGACCACGGATAAGTTCGACCCCTGTTAGAACAAAATACTTAGATCTGTTCAGTGGGATACCAGTCAGAAAAATGCACAACTAATGGGATTCAAGAACAAAAATAAGTTTCAGAGAAAGTAAAACAAAGATATGATCAAAAAGAAAATCATAGGGAAAAAAAAAAATTCTCATCTCATGGGATATTCATCCCAACGTGTATGATAAATCTGTCGCTCCAGTTCGAGTATGCGTGTTTATGCTCGCAGTTGTGACAACTGTGGTAAGAAAATATAACAATTAAAATTGAGTATAAAAAAGAGGCATGTTAAACAGAATAGCAAAAGCGTTTGGATAAAAAATGTCTGCAATTTTCAAATGTGCCCAACATTACAAAGATAATCAGCTGTTTAAAATAAATAAGCATACCTAATATTTCTTTGCTGTCTACATTTACCAAACGAAATACATTCGTTCGCTCTATTTTAGCAACAACTCGTACACAAAAAATGTGATTATCTATTTTTTTATTGCTAATTTGTTTATTTACAAGAGACGTGTCAGACAGCAACTTTCTATATTAGCTTTTTTTGTTGGATGGGTCTTCCAAAACAAGGAAAAAGGGACAAGATAACAACTTAATTAGAGTGATAGAATGAATATATTCACTACTATACCTTGAAATATAAAGAATTGGAGATTAAGTTTGAAAGTCATTAAGGGATTAATAAGCGATTTCTCGATTTTTCATCTTTCGACCAGCAAGACCGGCATTCTATCTCTGTTGCGTATTGGAAGATTAGACCCAACCCAAGCAACAGAATAGAAATTTATTTCAGCGTCAGATTACTTTCTCCTTGTCTATAATTGTAAGGGGGGCAAGGCAAAATTGCCATTCAGAAAGGATAAAAAGGATAATAGTCACTGAATAATCACGGTTTTTTGCGTGTCTTATAAATCCCAAGGACTCAGTACGTTTTTGCTGAGATTTCATTGATTTTTATAAAAGTTTTTACGATATTGCATATGGAATAACAGATTAGATCTTTCTTTTTTCCTAACATCAGCGCATGCAGATCATTTTCTTGGTAATCCATGATCTAAGCATTACTTTGTCCAGACACAAAATTATTGTGTGATATTCGCACTAATCTACGATCTATAGATTTACTCCCTCCTAAATACAGTACACTATACATTTTTCTCGGGAAGCAGTTATATTCGAAACAGGGAACAATAGTCAGAGCATGATTATATTTTATATGTTAATATTAATCAAACAAATCATACAAGTATATTAAATTCGGTAATCGAAAAAGGTTAAAAATATCACTAATTTTAAAGTAAAATTAACTAGAATTTCACTAATTTAACTTTTAGAGTTGCCCATTAGGAAAAAAAAAAAAAAAAAAAAAAAAACTTCGAGGAAGTTCCGATAGTATAAATTTTATCAAATATCACAGTTATAAGAATTATAAAAGAAATACATTTAAAATATACTGAAGGACGCA